TAAGCTCTCATCGATGATTTAGTTGGTTTTTTTAAAGAATGTTTCAAGCAATTTTGTTGAGACTATCAGTTCTTGTTATAGAAATAAAATTAAATTAAGTTCAAGAAGGAGTTTGTGGTTTCGGGCTAAAGCCATTTATTATTTCGTAATCAAATTGGTATTAATTGATCAAATGACTTGCGGAGGAAAACCATTTAGTTGTTAGTCGCACAAAGAAATTCTAAGAGCTTTATTTCTCTTGCTATTTTTGAGTATAGAAGGTAAGTTCACCCAGATATGTCTTTATTTCACAATGTGGAACTACTGCCGGGTATCATTCGGCATAGCGAGTTGTCGAGTTCATGGAGCTGGAGCAAGTTTATTACAAGTAGGTCGAACCTGTCTTTCATTTTTGAGTTTCCTTTTACGAAAGGGTGCTGTAGATATGAACAAGACGGATGAGAAGGAAAAAGCAGTGGAATACGCCGCTTGGTCCAAGGAAGCGGGAGATGCCAAAGGCGAATTTCTTGATGACGGTCGCATGTGGCCTTACGTCGTACCTGTAGAGGCTTTTGGCGAGCATATTTTTGGGGAGTATACGGATAAACTGAGAGAAGGAGTTGTGGTGAGTGTGTGGTTTTTTTTTTTGTTAGTTATTGTATGACTTGAGTGAAAATAATGACAAAAGTATTGTAGGTGTTTGCTGATAATTGGCTTGAGTTAAAATACAACTTTATCTTTTGATTTGAATACAAGAGAGAAATGAGAGTATTGATGCAGTCTCATCTAGTAATAAAATTAAAGTTGTATAGGTCCAAATGACTTCCATCCTTCAATTCGTAACTGCCTTCATCAACTAAAAATTCTCCAGGTTGAGTACCTGATGCGAGATTATGATGATCTAATGGAGAACAATGTAAAGTGCATGTGGTTGGCAAAAATCATCAAGGTATGTAGTTATCTCCTTTTTTGACTTATTTGATTGTGAAGTATGCTCGATTCTTCGTGTTCACTATTTTTGATATATGATAGAACATCCTTATATAAATACATGAGAAAACGGCCTTTCTACTAACTTCATCCCTCCACTCCCCTTCTCATCCATTTAGTGTCGGTTTGCCGAGCTATCCCTTTTTTGTAAAGCTTTTCCCAACTCAGATTTTCAGATTGCTGGATATCGTTTATTACTGCGTTGGGTAGGTGCAGATGAGGAAGGGGATGATAAGTTCGATTTTTGGGTCAATATTGGAAGTCGCATACTTCATCCTGTTGGGTAGTGAGTTACTACTTTGTGTAAATTAAGAATTTGTCTTTTCCGGCTATGGAGATAGCCGCTATGATGTAGCTATTCCTCAGATGTTCACCACCAGAAGTAGTTCCCACAATGTTTATGTTATCCAAACAGTTTAATAGTTTTTTAGTGGTGGATCGATCCAGACA